TGCATTCATTGCCATGATGTGTAGGTGCCAGTGTTGGACTGGGGTGGACAAGGTCAGAAATCATGTGACACCAGGTTATGGTCCAACAGGTTTATTTGAAAACACAAGCTTTCAGAGCCTCAGTTGTCTTTCAGGTGTTAGTGAGAGAGGTAGTATCAGACACAGAATTTATAAGTAAGAGATCAAAGACCATTGAGGATGTACTGAACAAACCTAAGATGCTGTTGACTCTTTAATCAGTTAGAAGGTTTTAATTGATTAATATGTATATGTAAATCCCCAAATTCCTTTCAAGTCACTGTCCTGAGAGAACTAAAGGTTTTATCAGCATAAAGAAGAGGTGACATTTTAGATCAGACAATGCATGTTACATGTGAGACCTTGTTTAGAATCTGCTTGTATTTTAGTTTGGAGTCAGACTGGTTTTATTTCTAAAGTAGGAATTTATAAAATGCCATATACACTGACTGTCAATAAATGGTGCGCTTTTTGAACAAATAAAATGTATCTGCCAATACAAATTCACCCCACAGATTCACACGTGTGTGTGAGTATGAGAGTCAGGGTGTGACCGTTCCCTCTGTGACACCCTGGTCCACTCTTTCATCTCTCCCAACATCCTCCCACCCACAGCCCCATAGCACCTGCCTTTGCGACTGCCGAAGGTGTAACACTTGCCCTTTACCTCCTTGCTCCTCAATATCCAAAGGCCCAAACATACCTTACAGGTGAAGCAGCTCTTTACTTGGACTTCACACAATCTAGTCTACTGTATTTGCTGCTCACAATGTTGTCTCCTCTACATTGGAGACACGAAGCATAGACTGGGTGACCGCTTTGCAGAACACCTACATTCTGCCTGCAAAAAAGACCCTGAGATTCCAGTTATCTGCCAATTTAATACCAACCTGTCCCCTGGCTGATATCTCTGCTTCAGTTTTGCTGCAGTGTTTCAGCTCATTTTCCACTTGGGGATCCTACAGCCCTCCAGACTCAGTATCGAGTTCAATTCTAAGGCCCAAACTCTACCTGTTCTAGCCCTCAAACCCATACACCAGGCCTTGTTATGACATAGTCAGCCATTACATACTACCTATTATTAGTCACTAACAGTCCTGATTAACAGCTATTCACTCTCCTGGCCAGATCGTTATCCACTCCTTTGTCTGTCCAACTGTGCTTCTCTCTCTTTGGGCTGTACTCCCACCTTTCATTTACTCCTTATCCCCTCCACCACCCTGTTTTCTGCATATAAATCAACATTTTTCTGCTATCATCAGTTCTGAGGAAGGGTTACTTCGATTTCTCTTCTCAGATGTCACCAGACTGGCTGAGCTTTTCCAGCAATTTCTGTTTTTGTTTCCAAAATAATATTGTTCTTTTCACCTCCAAGTATGAACCTTGATGAAAATCATAATTCAGTTAATGAATGTTGCCATTTAAATTGGTGATATCTTATTTTTTCACAAAGGGTCAGGAACAAACATTTGTTGAGCTGCAGAAGCGATTAAAGGAACTAGAAGCTGAGCGCAACAATCTCACAGAGGCACTGCGACGCCAGACAAATGAACTTGAATATAGTAATGACCGAGAGGAGCGACTAAAAAGGGAGTTGGAGGTAAATTGCTATCTCAGGATATTGCAGTATTATTTGTGGATTACAGTTGATTTGGAACCAAATTGTTACCTATCTTTAAGGTACATTTCTTATTGAATTTACCTTTCTGTCTGAGAAAATGACAGTTGTCAGCCTATTTAATAGGGGATTGGGCTGATACCAATCAGTTTTCTTACCTGACACAATTGATATTATCATGTAGTGGATCTGTGTTTTCTCCCACATTCCTTTAATGTTAAGTGTTGTCACATGGTCATGCCGAAGTGTAACATCTAATAATAGATCTCCAAAAAAGTATTTGATTTAGATTTTAAAGAATTCTTTCTAAATTTTCTTGCCGAAGTAATTTTATGTTTGAGAGTAAATTGGTTAAATGAAAAATATATTGTAGTACATCTATATGCCTTTCCTTAACCACGCATGTGTAAAATCTAGTGTAGGTACTTGAAGAAGAGAAAGTGTATTTTCAAAATAATATGAAAGGTGTGGTTTTCATTTGCCTCCTGTCTCTTTTTTTTTGCTGTGAATGAGGCAGCCTGAATATTGAGTAAAGAGGCCCATAGGAAATTACACCAGAGATCTTCATGTGATTACTCAAGAGGGATTCTAAATAGGCAGTCAGAGCTTCTAGATTATAGACACTTGTATTTTGGAGTCCTGTGCTGGTTTCCAGGTTTAATTGTCATTTCAGTTGTCATTTGCTTTGCTATCAATATTTTGCAACTCACCCAAAAAATGTGTTGTACAAGTCAAGAGAAGACACAATGCATAACTGAATCCATAGCTGTTCTTTCCTAGACCACTAGGACACCTTTAAAACCTTTTGTCTTGTGAATACATTGTGGTTTGCACTGTGATCCTTCTGCAGCTGTACTGCCTCTACAGCTTTGACAATGGAAAATCTCTCTTGCCATCATGTAGAACCGACCAGGAATTTTGCTCTAGCTGGAAGAGGAGGAATTGCAGCAGTAAGTTGAGTGATCTTCAGCAAGGGAAGGAGAACCTTTGGCAGGTCTTACCTTCCCAGACTGTACATATCAGTAATCTTCGGGACATGCTTAAGAATGCTGCACTTCAAGGATGCAATGCCAGAGTTGTGTAGCCTTCACAAGCCTGTACTCAAATTCCAAAGCTTTCATAGTGCTCCTTATGGTTATTAGTCACTACTACTTTGCTTCTACATTTCGTTCCTGAATGGTCGAGTTCTAATTTTAAGATGATGCCATTTAGATCTGGATTTCCACTTTGAAGGAAATTGTTTTTGGTTTTATGAATTAGTCATTTTAAATGTCTTGAGTAAATCACCATTGAGCCTATTGAATTTGAGAAAATTCTGACTAACTCCTGAAGCCTGCTGCACCTTTTTGAGGTTGGCATATAAAACTGACCACACTTCTTTCATATGGGCCTTGGCCAAAGCTCTAGACAACTGAAGCATAACTTTTTCCCATTTGAATTCCAGCTACTTTGAATGGGAATTATATATAAATCTTATGATAAATATGCATTCACTTTTGATGATTTGTGTAATTGCATGTCCAAATCCTTTTGCTCCTTCACAGATTTTTGTCTTCCAGAGTTTTAAGAAAAAAATTCTGATTTTTCTATCTTGGATTGAAAGTGAATTATCTCAGATTAATTGATGTTGTAGTAGATAGAGTGCGCTTACTTAATCTAAGTAATTTCAACATGCGTTCCAAAGAAGAGACAAAAGATTCAAAATGTTAACTTTCTTTTGCTCTCCACAGATGCTGGCAAACCAACTGAGTTTCTCCAGCACTTTGTTTTTATTTCTGATCTCCAGCATGTGCAGTATTTTGCTTTTACTTGAGTACTTAATCTAAGTCCCTTTTATGAATTCCTACTCGTATCAACATTGCTAATGCTTTCCTACTAAATTCCTAATCCTTTTGAGACGAAAGGTAGCATTCCATTAGCTCGTTTGAATTTATTTGTACCTGTGCACTAACTTTTTGTGATGCATGTACGTCAACACACAAATTCCTTTGCTGCTTCACAGCTTTTAATTTTTCACTACAAACAAAATATTGTACCTTGTCAGATTGAAACTTAATGCCCTGTTACTTCTACACAATGAACAGAGTTATGCAAAACTCTCTTCCCCGCTGAAAAAATAGAGAAAAGGATCTGAACTGTATCCGTTACTAATTTATGAAAAGCTTAAAACAAATGAGTAACTATACATAAATCTCAATCACGGCAACTTAAAAAGAAGAACGTTATTCAACAACACTTCATCCTATTTCTCAATTATTTTGAATGGACTGACTGCTTTTTTGTTGAGGTTAAAATGGTAGCCATTATGGGTACAACATGATGTCCCCAATAGTAACTGAACAAAGAACCTAGTCAATTTGTTTTGATGAGAGATAGTAGGAACTGCAGATGCTGGAGAATCTGAGGTAACAAGGTTTAGAGCTGGATGAACACAGCAGG